AAGTCTAACATCCTCAGCACTTTCTTTTTTAAAAATATTTTTTTAGTTGTAAATGGACACAATATATTTATTTTATTCATTCATTTATATGTGGTGCTGAGGATCAAACCCAGTGCCTCACAGGTGCTAGACCAGTGCTCTATCACTAAACCATAACCACAACCCCCTCAGCACTTCTATTGCCAGAAGTGGTACTGAGTACTTTTATATAGTAGCTCACTTAATTCTCTTGATAAATCATGACAGTATTATTCTCATTGCAAACATAGGAAAGGCTGGGGTTATAACTCAGGGGTAGAGCGCTTGGCCTTGAATTCCATTCCTAGAACCACACACACAAACACACACATACACACACACATACACACACACACACAGAGGGGAAACTGAGGCTCCTGAAGATAACATCATGGCACAAGCTAAATGAAAGGATTGAGTCATTTTGCTATGCCCCACCATCTGTAACTCTGAGGATAGAAGTGGGTGTACCCAAGGAAATTGAGTGGGTCTGCTTGTTAGTGCCTTGGTGGCTGCAGTTCAGTAAATGCCTCTGATTTCAAGTAGGCATTGCATGAATGGCAGCTAATCCCATCCACACCACAGTCTGTTTCCTCTCCCTGTCAGAGTCTTCACAAAGGACTTCTTTTGGTCTCCAACAAGACCAGGAATAAGAATTGGCTTAGAGAACCTCTTCCCTAGTGCTACAAAAAAAAAAAAAAAATCCTATTATTGATGAATTATCCCTTTTCCATTCTCATTGGTGGAAAATCCCATGGAGACTGATTTGTTCAGATACGGAGAAGCATTTCAGACTTAAATATGTTTCAGAAGTTGAAGTTGTGTCTATGAGGGTTTATAGCTCAGATTTTCTCTTTGTCAGTGGGGTCTTCGTGTATAGAATACAGCATATTAATTATTCATTTGAGGGGAAAAAAATCATGTTGCTCTAGAGATTTTTCCATCCATAAAATGTGGATAATAAAAGCTATCCCACCTTGTTCATATGGTTTGGGGAATTATACAAAGAATACAAAGAATAAAGTTGAGAATAATTTATAATACATTGGCAAATGCCATCTCCTCTAGTTTTTTCAGTCTAAAAAGACCCAGCACCCACCTCGATCTCCTTACAGTAAGTAGCCTATCTTCTCTTATTTTTATAGCAGCTCTCATTTACCCAAATTGACTTTTTTCACTTGGTTGTTTATTTGAGGGTTTCCTGTCTCTCCAACTACAATGAGATTCCGTACAAGAAAGGATTTTTGTCTTTTTTTGTGGGGAGGGGTACTGGGGATTGAACTTAGGGATGCTTAACCACTGAGACACATCCTCAGCCCTTTTAAATATTTTATTTAAATAAAAACTCGCTGAGTTGCTAAGTGYTTTCCAAATTGCTGAGGCTGGCTTTGAACTGACAATCCTCCTGCCTCGGTCTACCTGACTCACAAAGATCACAGGGATGTGCCACCACACCCAGCAATTTTTGTCCTTTTGCCATTGCAATGCCAGCATCTCAAACTGTCCCCAGCGCATAGTGGGTACTCAATAAATTCGTGTTGAATAGTAAAACTTTTGTGTTACATTATATATCTTTATCTAAATTTTGAAAATTGGATTCAAGTTCAAAAAAAATTGATTAATCATAACCTTTGTTTTGTGGCACACTCATCTTTGATTCATATATGGCCCTCTTATAATTATTTACCTACTACTTAGTTTTTTTCAAAAATTATATAATAAACATCTGAAAACATAGAACCTAAAACAAAATCTAGGGTCCTTCATTGGACCATAGGGCCCTGTATCTTGGGAATTCTAGGTGCTTTGTTCCCTGTTGTCTTTAGTCTTCTCCCCAGAAGTAGAGCCTCAAGTGAGACACTTGTGCAAGTGATATGCTAAGAGGGTGGTCTCAGGAGAGGGGAGCCAGAGAAACAGGGTGAGACAGGAAGAAAATGTAAAGCACAGACAATTTGCCTGGATCAGCTGGAGACAGGTCTCAGTGTGGCCCTCAGGAGCTCTGAAGCCACTGGTACCCAAGTGCTGACCCCATCTCAGGGCAAAAAACTAGCCATCTGAACCCTTGAGTCAGCTAGTCAAAGGCTAACATTGGGGAGGTAGGATATGGGAAAACAGGTACGTAGCCTTCTGAGTGGGGCAGCCCCCATTTGGCCAAGAGCAGTTCTGTAGAAAGGGATGCAGCCTTGGTCGGTTGGCAGCCAACTCACAGTACCTGGGAATCAGTGCACTGGACCAGGAAGAGGCAGTCTGGGCATGTCCATGTTGTCTTGCCCACCCTTTTATATAGTTTAACCAAAATATGTATTTAGTCTTAAAACTGTGTGTGTGTGTGTATGTGTGTGTGTTTATGTGTGTGTTCAATTGTTTGGAACTTTCTAGAAAGGAAATCCATTACATTTTGTTTTGACTGACATATAATATTTAATAGGTGAATATACCACACTTTATTCACCCATTCTCCCATGGATGGTCTTCTGAATTATTTCTAGGTCTTCACTATGTGTTGCTGTGACTATTCTTATATATGTTTCCTGTTGGGTAAGTGCAAAAATTTCTTGGGTTTATTTCTRTGGTGGAAATAGCCAGATCATAAGGTACAAACTTTAGAAGATGGTGTTATACTAATTCACATGCCCACTGATAATACATGAGACTCTGCCATCTATGTCCTTTCCAACTTTTTAATTCTTATACATTAAATGAGTATAAAATGGCATCTCACTGTAGTCTTAAATTCTTCATGTCTTCAACCGCTAATCATACATTCCTATGTTCATCACATGCATCTGCGAGATAATTTTTTTGATATTTACTTATTTATTTTAGTTTTCGGCGGACAAAACTAAAAAAACGTATGTGGTGCTGAGGATCGAACCCGAGCGGCACGCATGCCAGGCGAGCGCGCTACCGCTTGAGCCACATCCCCAGCCCTATTTTACCCTCCTTTTCTATTGGGTTATTTGTGCTTTCCTTATTGATTTTTTTAGTTTGTCATTCACTCTTTGCTGTGTGTATTATGAAAATTGTGGATATCTTCTCGCACATTTTAACTTGTATTTTCACCTTGGGTTCCGTGTCTTTTACTCATCTTGATTACATTATAGTCACACATATTATTTCTTTTCTTTTTATGGCTTTTTATGTCTTWTTTAAGAAATATTTCCTTTAAATATTCTGAAGGACAATCTCAATCTGAGGGCGGAGGGTCACAAATGGAACCGGGTTCCAGGCAGATTACAGAAGCAAGCACTGTCRTGCCTCCCAAGACACCGTCCCATTTGAAAGAGCCCTGACTAGCAAGCACAAGTGACCAGCTGGCTGGCTGGCAGGTGTGTTCTGGTTATAGAATTAGATATATCATGCTATTAGAGCTGGATGCCATTAAAAATTCTAATCATAGACTGTAATTAACTTTCCTTGCTCTGACGCCCGCTCACTAAGCAACCTTCTGATTATCATTTGGCTTCCCATGTATCTTGCCTACAGGGAGAGAATGTACTGAGAATGTACTGTTCAGGCCGACGTGAGGATCCAATCCATTAAACAGTTACATGCCATGATGTAAATTAATAAATTCGTATTCTGATTTTATCATCTGCCTCATCTGGGCTCCGAAGGCGTGAGTCAGCATCCCCGGGTCTAATCAACACAGACACTGAGAATATCAAGCTTCTGGGCTGAAAAACTAAGAACTAGCCCCAGACCTGAGTGAAATCACCAAGGTAACATTGCCCTGGAGGCCCCTCGGCCTGATGAAGGAGGCTTTCCTACATGTCATGCGATACGGACAGGGATTAAAATTGACGTTTGACATTATAAAGGGCTGCATATTCAAAACTGTGGCTCGGTTCCATTCAGGTGAAGGCAAAGAATAGGGGATGATCATGAGACTCATATTGAATATTTATTGGCTTATGAGCACACACCAGATGCTGCACAAATCCTAGGCAGAAGGTTGAGATTTACAGACATGTTTGAAAATAGCAAAAACATAAACAAAACAAAACAAAAAAAAGGACAGATGGTACGTGCTGAGGAGATGGAACAAGAGGCATCTGACTGATAAATTCTTGTTCCACRTAGGTACTTGTGGTCTAGCATCCACAACAGAAGAAGGCAACTTTAAAGCCCCAAAGTAAAAGAAAACAGGAGAAAGAAACACAGGGTACACCAGAGCACAAACAGGAATGCACTGAGGCCGTGAGATGATCCAGGCCAGAGGAATGATTTAGGACGTGAGGGCTGAGGGCAAGATCTTTGAAGTAAGTTCAAAAGGCAAAGTGGAGATGAGTCCGTTAGGACAGATGGGGATAATTGAGCAATCCTGCAATTTAGTCTGCCACTTCATCCATGATCCTGGGTGAGTGGCACCTACAGTGACACTGATCCCCTTCTGGGATCCCAGTTAAACTGAGTAATAAAGGGAAGAAAGTGATAAGAACTGCAGTATCTGGAAATTCTTAGCCTAGTGACGGGAAGAGAGTCTCTGCTTTGTATTCTGGCCAAATAAGGGGGAGGGGTCAAACCCACAGGATTTGTTGCTCAAAGAAAGATATGTTCCTAAGCTGGGCTTGGTGGTGAGTCCCAGTTACTCATGAGGCTAAGGCAGGACAATCATTTGTGCCTAGAAGCTTAAGGCCAGCCTAAGCAACACAGCAAAACTTTATCTCAAAAATAAAGAAGAAGAAGAAGAAGAAGAAAAGAATGTTCTAGAAGGAGTGAGAGAAATTCAAGGAAGCTCTATGTAAACAAGCATTATTTCCTGCAGCACTCCTGTGGGACACCCACCAGAATCAGGTCCCCTGGTTTAGGGATGCTCTTTGGCTCTAAAAATGAGGTAGAGATATGCTACCCTGTGTGTGGCCTGATCAATCTGCAGTGTGGAAGGAAGGTACACCAAAGGCTCAACCAAACAGCAGGCCCATGCACAGCAGGTTYGTGGAAGTGCTTCTCACAGGTGCACCACCAGGATGCGTGAATTCCAGAGAGCGGGGCTGCAGAGGGCTGGCCTATGTTTTCTACCAAGCCAAAGCGCTCTGACTCACACATGAAGGAATGAGCTCTTTAAGAGTGGCCTCAGTTGATGTGCTTATGGGGACAAATAAATGTAGACAGAGGGGGCTCCTTGTCTAGTAGAGGTTGTCCCGCACGTGCTCCATGATGGTCTTCAGCCCCAGCCAGGTCTCCTCTGCGGTGGGGATGATCTGGTTGGCTGGAAGAAGGAAGCCATAATGTCCTGTATCTCTCAACTCAAATGTGAATGCATACTTGATGCCATTGTCATATGCCCAGTCGATGCTGCTCCCRCTAGCTGGATCTGTAAGTCCAAAGAACAAACACTAGTGAAACCCAGTTTCCTTCAGGATTCCAGAGGAGAGGGCCAGAAGTTCTGCCTGCCTAGAGTTCTTTAGGGACCCAGAGTTCTTTCTGCAAGTCATCAGGCCTCTGACACATAAACTCTGACTCCATCCATAGATCTTAGGATGTCCTGTATCGTGAGGTTCTACAATAATCTCAAATCAAGAGATAGGAAATCCTTACACCCACCCTGTCACTAACTCACTGTGTCCAGCACTGCAGGTCACTCAAAACCAGTCTTTACAGAGATGGGTGGAGTCAGCAGCATCCAAGGGAGCCCTAACAACCCTGGTCTCCTGGAATTGTGTCCTCTCTCTTACACAGAATAGGGCTGGCTTCACTTGTGTCACTAACAGKATATTGCAAAAACAAAGCTGCCATGAAAGATACTGCAGCTTGTCCTTGTCCTCTCTTGGGTCCCTTTCTCTGGGGGAAGCCAGAGCTATAATGTAACAAGCCTGATCAAGAGCTTAAAGTGGTAAAGAACTGCAAACTCCTAGCAATACTCAGCACTAACTCACCAGGCACCCAAGTGAGTCACCCTATAAGCAGATCCTCCGGCCTTATCAAGACTAGTTAACTGCTGCCCTGGAAGATATCTTGACCCATCTAAGACCCTGAKCCAGAACCACCCAGCTAAGCTATTCTTGAATTCCTGACCCATAGAAACAGTGTAAGAAAATAAATGTTTATTGTGTTAAGCTGCTAAGTTTTATGGTTCTTTTAATACAGCGAGAGATAACTGATATGCAAAGAGGAAGCACATTCCTTAGGGTTTCCCTTTGCCAAAAAGCTTGAGAGATACAGGAGGCCTGTTTTTCTGCTTCTTCCCAGACTGTACCAAAGCAGAAATCAGCTAAAAGTCCAAAAGAGAAATTATCTTGAATAATAAAATAATGATGTCAATAGCAGCTATTATCTCTTCAGCATGAGCCAGTCATTATGTTGGAAACTTGACAGTTATGATCTTGCAATCTTCCAAAACCAGTGAGGTAGGTATTACTGTCCTTGTTTTACAGATGAGGGAATCCAGACTCAGACAGGGTAATTCATCTAAGAAAGTACAGATGCAAAATGGCAGCTCTGGAATTTAAGCCCAGGTCCATCTGATGATAAAACCCATGCTTTCTTCAACCTACTTGAGGTTCATCTGCTTTATTAACACGTCTGATAAATGAAAATATGGGCTGGGCTTGGTGGCGCACACCTGTAATCCTAGCAGCTTTGGAGGCTGAGGCAGGAGAATCACAACTTCAGAGACAGCCTCAGCAAAAGCAAGGTACTAAACAACTTAGTGATACCCTGTATCTAAATAAAATACAAAAAAGGGGTGGGGATGTGGCTCAGGGGTCAAGTGCCCCTGAGTTCAATCCCTAGTACCAGAAAAAAAAAAAAAAAGAAAGAAACAGAAAGAAAATATGGTTCTTTTACCTTCCTGTTATTTCTGTGAGTTGTTTCTCATGGTGGTATGGTATGTGCAATGTTTCTAGAGACACTGCCCGCACTGACAAGACACGTTCCCTAAGGGTATGAACAGGCTCCGCTCTGCTCTCAGAAATCCTTCCGTGTTTCCCATGGATTTTCTACCCTGAGAAAATGCTTCAGCAAAAATAGATGATGGTACCAGAAGCTTCTAAGGGTTCTTTATATGGAAAGCTCAAGTATTTCATAGCACATTTAAGACTTTGGAAGGAGGCAGAAAAGCATCTGCTCAGAGGTCAAAGTGATCAAATTCACGAGCTTCACTTTATTCCCTGCTCAACATTCAGCTACTCTCTCATTTTTTCCTGACACACACGGGAACCTACTACTAACATTGCAGTTTTCAATTAATAATTAAAGATTATTCCCTAATAACACACATAGAGCCACGTCTTTCATTTAAGGCAGCATAGTATTTCATCATATGGATATACCAAATGTGTTTTTAATCCAACATGCTCCTGATGGACATTTGAGATGTTTACTAGCAATTTGTGATGGTAAGTAATGCTGTCATAAACATCCTTAACATCTATGAATTTCCCATGAATCAGATGAGCCCAAAGAACTTGCTTTTAAGCCCTTAGTAGATCAGAAGAAGTGAAGAAAAAGACTGTTGGAGGCAGTTGGCCAGAAAGCAGTGCAAGCCAGAGAGGAGGAAGGAGACTAAAAACTCTAAAAAGCACATGCAAGAATTAGACGACAAGCCAGGCTGGGGCTGGAGCTCAGAGGCAGAGCGCTTTCCTAGCATGTGTGAGGCACTRGGTTCGATCCTTAGCACCACATGAAAAACTAAACAAATAAAGGCAGGCTGTCCATCTACAACTATGAAAAAAAGAAAGAATTAGGCAAGCCAAACAGGCAGGGGCAAACTATCGAAGGATTCTACATCCCAATATGGCACAGTAGATCTACAGATCGTAAGAACTAATGTTCAGGAAACCATTCAATCATGAAGAAAGGGGCTTAGGTCTCACTTCCACATGCTTAGTTTAAGTAGGCAAGAAAGTATGAAGTCGATTTTAGAATTATTTTTATTTAAAAATGGTTGATCTAAGAAAAGGTCTGGCACTTGAAGAAATTAACACCAACTGTTTATGTAGTACATGCTAGAACCCTTGGGGTTAGAGTGTTATTATACAAAAATTGATTGCTTTTTGGAAAGCAAGGAGGGCAGAGAAAGCCCACGAAGAACACAGAAGATGGGCTCTTGAAAGAGGTAGGAAATGTTACGGCCCCTGGAGATGCTCAGGAGAACCTTCCTCCTCTTCTGTTGGAGGCATCTGGTAAATCTCCCTAGGCCCGGGGAACTGCTCAAGCTGGGGAAAAGTATGTGTTTGATGTGGGAGGACAAGGCCATAATTTAAAACGGTGTCTGACTCAAAAACCAGAACCCTGTTGACCTACRAAGCTCTTTTGAGAAGACCTCTTCATCAGGCTGCTAGCAAATCTCCTGTAAGTCTCTTTAGTCCCTGGCTCAGTTCTGACTAATTAAGCAGAGGGTGAAGAAAGTCTCCCAGATGTGTACTCTGAAGAGTTCCCATTTAACAACACTAATAACAATAAACCATGAATAATTAATGGATTGTTGCTGCAATTAGCAACATAAATACCAGCCTCCTGCTAACTGCTTCATGCTGCTTGTGGCATATGAAATAGAGACTAGGGTGCTTAGATGGCAGTCCAGAGGAGGGCCTGGGGGAAGGAYGGAGCACTTCGCAGAAAAGGAGTTCTGAAGGGAAGCCAGGAGAGTGGATTGGGTAAGGTAGGACAGYGAGTTCCACACCCAAAGAGGAAAACAAATATACCAGCAAGGGTTTGGGCGCTCTGAAGGGCACCAACGGTTAGAACACTATATACAGAGAAGGCACTAGAGGGGACAAAGGGGACACTACCTTCAAAGGGATTCGAGTTGTGCTTCCCCTATTTATGTTCACATTTATGTTTTCCATTTGCAGCTGGGATCTTGGACTATGATTTTTTTTCAACAGGAACATTTGAAAACAGACTCACAGAAAAAGGGAAAAGATAGATTCTCCACAGGAGTTGTTGAATGTATTGCCCACAGGAAACATTTTAACAGAAACCAGACAAGGGTATTTCTTCAAAATGAGGCTATARATAATGAACCTCAACACCAGGTTTGGGGCCTCAATAGGTTTTTCTGTTGTTGTTGTTGTTTATTTGTTTGTTTTGGCTAGATGATAAGCATTGTTGGGAGGACCACCTATAGATCATTTCTAATAAGGTGAGGGGGTCTCCCCCACAACACTATCAGGACCACCATCCGTCTGCCCACGTAAAGGTGGGTTTCATTTGAAAATGGACGGATGGACTTGAAGAATTTTTGGCCAACAGTGTGAAGATGAGGAATGCAGATTCTATCAGCCAACAGGACCTAACTCATCAAGGGCACATGATAAATAGCTGAGCATGTTGAAGGCAGCTGCCCACAACCACCATCACACGGGCTTGACAGAAAGCCATTCTATCTCTAACCACAAAAACAGTCGGCCACACAAGGCAGGCCCACTGGCAGCTCCCGYCACTCCATTCCCAGTTCTTCTCAGAGCACTTTCGGAATAATGCATCCACACAGCCAGTACTCACACACGGTGGTGCAGGTTGGGCCCACTTGGTACTTAGTGCCCGAAAGGGAAGCCAGAGCTGCAGCGGCATGCCTCGCCACGTCGTCCTGGGAAAGGAATAGCAAAGTGAAGAAGAGTGAATCCTGAGGCCCACGATTGCCCAGCTGTCCTGCACTGGATGGTCTGGGAGAGTCTCGGCCCTCCCCCAATCTCCCCTTCCGGTCTTTTCTTTGTTACTTAAATAGACCCAAGATTGGACTGTCAACTGAGGGAAGAGACTGGATTCCCCCAATCYTTCTCCACCACATCCCCAGTTCTTCCATCCAGTCTGGGAAAGGAGGTAAAGAAAGATGGAGGTGGAAGAAGATCAATAATAACTCTAAAAGCGTGGAAAACTGGAAAGCTGCATTCAGGCTCTCCAGAGGCCTGGCAAGCTGCTCAGCCCCTGGTGAGAACCCAGTAAAGGTACTGAGGAACAAGAATGCCAAGCGCGTTTCAAGAGAAAATCCCTGAAGAACTGGATGCTCTAGAGTGGAAGTGGAGAAAGGGCTGCCATATATAAAGAGGACCTGGGATAATTCATGCCTGACCATGAGCCTGGGTCCTCAGCCTGGAGGCTAGTGACCTGGGCAGAGGGGTGTGCTCAATCAGACCAGACCAAAGGCTGTGTGGCCCTGCTCCTCCACTCCATCCCAAAATGTCCTCCCCCATTCTAGGGTGAATCACTGGGGGGCACAGAGCACCACTAGCTGTGATCTACACCCTCCTTCACTTCTTCATTGACTACAGTGAGGGGCCTCTCCCCCTTGCACACCATAATGGCAACCACAGTGCATGGCAGGCACTGGGTATGACACCCTCCAGTCAGAAAAACAAGCAAGAAGGTAAGGCAGACTCCAGCGCAGTTCTTGGAGCTCACAGCAGGCCTAGAAGTAAGAGGCACGTTCTCCTGTCCCCAGTAGGTCTGATGGTACACCCCACAGGGCAGGAGAGAAGTCTAAGCTCTTAATGAAACCACCCAGGCTCCTGGACTTTCCTCTGAAGCTGTAGATCAGTCACCTTGGCAGCACCCAAAGGRTCAAGCAGGCCCAGGGCTGGGTGGAAAGCCGCTGTCACTCACCAGCTCCTCAGCATCTGGGGCCTTCTTGACAGTGTATCCATAGGGATACATCAGCAGCTGTGAGTAGCTGTGCAGGTCGATGAAGCATTTGAAATTTCCATGCTTTTGAATGAAATCTACCACCGATTTCACCTCCACTTCAGAATTGGCATGGGGGCCGTGGTACACTTCAGAGCAAGGGTTATCACTGGCTCCCTCTCCTGTTGGGGGACAGCCAACCAGAAATAGTAATCCATAGGCCACGAAAATAGAAATGAGGGCACTAAACCCCAAGGAGGGGTGGGAGGTATTGGCAATGGGCAGGCCATTGYCAGATGCCCTAAAGAACCAGTCCATAGTATGTGCAGACTGCAAGGGGGAGGCCAGGGAGGGCAGTGGTGGGTATTAGATCTCCCACGGCTGAGGAAAATTGTTGGGACTTCTTTAAATGGATACAGTTGACCTTATATTGCGCCAATAGCAGTTGTCATAAATAATTAATATCATGCTTGAGAATGAGTGGTAATTAATAAGTATTCTAGATAATTAATATGAATACCAATAAATAATGAAAATGACTCCATTTATTCTAGTGTCAACTTATTCTCTTGCTTCAGATCTTAATAGCCAACTGCTGCCAAAAATAATCTATTGTTGTGGCTAAAATCTCTTGGTTATTTGACAGGTACTTAGAAATATTGCCTTCTGTATTGCTTCCCAACATAGCTCCCTGAGGTATCTGGTGATTGTGCGTGCGTGCGTGTATGAGCGTGTGTGTGTGTGTGTAACCACCCCAGTTATGGGAATATCTGGCTTCACTTTGATGCCTTCAGTTCCCGGATTGGTATCAGCTCCTTTCACTTTTCCCTAGTGWTTTTTGTGGTTATTTCTGTGCAAGTAAATGAAGTCCATTAAAAACACAACATCAGGACTGGAGTTGTACCTCAGTGRTAGAGCACTTGCCTAGCATGTATGAGGCACTGGGTTTGATCCTCAGTACCACATAAAAATTTAAAAAGTAAAATAAAGATATTGTATCCATCTACAACTAAAAAATATTTTTAAAAATCGGTGTAGCTGTGAAATAGTATAAGATAACTAATTGGATTTGGAATTGGAAGGTGAGCTTAGATCCTAATTTTTTGTTTTTGAAGTTGTTCATGGACATAATGCCTTTATTTTGTTATGTGGTGCTAAAGATCGGACGCAGTGCCTCACACATGCTAGGTAAGCGCTCTGCCACTGAGTTACAGCCCTAAGATCCTAATTTTTATCAGCCATAGAATCTTGAGATTATCTCTGAGCTTCCATTGTCTTATTTCAGATAATAAAGTCTACCCACTAAGTTAAAAACAAGATATATGTGAGAGTACTTGGCACATATTTGATATTTTGTAGAGGATGGTTTTTAAAAATCTGGAACTCAGAACCCAGGTTACCTAATTCCCATACTCTCTCTCAATAGCATGCTGCTGAGGTTCATATTACATGTTAAGAATAACTGCTGGAATTTAATTTTCACAACATGATCTTGCCTATTAGAGTAACAGTGCTAATTGCTCCCTTGGATTCATACATCTAATATGAGAGTAGTTTTTAAATATCAGAATGTCAGTGTAGGGCCTGGAGCTGTAGCTGGTGGTAAAGCACTGCTTACCATACACAGGCCCTGGGTTCATCCCCAGCACACGAAAAAATTTAAAAATAAAAAAATTAGCATAATTATAATAACAATGCAAAGATACTCTGTCCCACTGTCCTCCCAGGAAGACAAAATGTATTCAATCATTCCTTTTCAAAATTACAATAAAATCTTTAAAACAAAACAAATAGAATATATCCACCTAGAGACCCTCAAAGAGGCTGCTAAGTCTGTCAGTGAATGGAACGATGGAACCAGAGTGGAATAGGCTCCCTCAACACCAGCTCAGAATCCCCGTGAACAGGCTCGTCCCGTGGCCGTGGGATCTGAAACTGTTCCCCCACCTACCTGCAAAACTCRCATTCCAGTTTCGATTTGGATCAGTGCCAACACAGCGGCTTCCAGGATTCAGGGACCKCGTCTTCCTCCATAATCGGTTCTGAAAAAGCCACCCAACACCCAGAGGTAGGTCAATCTACAGAAGCAGTGAAAGGCTTCTGGGAGACTAATATGGAGATGACCACAGCAGATGGGATGAGCTGCTTGCAGCTGGACCTGGGGGAGCTCCAGTCCTCGCTATGGGGCAGTTTGCTCTCATCCCCTCCGACAGGAGGAGTTTGTACTTCTGGCTTTAAGAAAGGAATGCTCCTCAAAATCCCCTGATAAGAATTTTATATGCAAGAACCAAGTTGATGCCATCTGAGTGYCCTGAATAATTAYTGGCTTCAGTAGACATGGGATGCACGGCCATTACGTGCCTTGATGATCACCTATGCCTATTTTATTTTTGCTTTAAGAATCYACCTGAATCTAGTCAAGCTCTGGGTTGGGGAATAAGGGAGTAAATTAAATGGCACAACAAAGAAGCCATCAGCCAAATTCAGAATGTGAGACATTATACAGGAAATTACTTGGTTTCTCCAACAAATGAATGACATTTTAAAAGGATGAGTGRGGGTGCTGATATAGTATAATGGGAACTGCAGCGACATGTAGATGCAACGTGCAGACCTTGTTGGATCCTGACTTCAACAAATTGACTCCTAAGAGACACTTTAAAGATAATTGGGGGTGTTAGATGATATTAAAGAACTTCCATTAATTTTTTAAAGGTGACAGTGGTGTAGTGGGTTTGGGGCTTTTATTATTATTATCATCATCAYCTAGAGATGCACACTAAAGTAGTTTTGGGTAAAATAACATGATATCTGGGATTTGCTTCAAATTACATCAAGAAAAAAATTGTAAGGGAGAAAAAAAGATGAATAAAAGATTGAGAAAATGTTGATAATAGATCAAGGCTCATAATAGGGAGTTCCTTAAACTATTCTCTCTTTAAAAAATATATATTCCCTGGTGATTCTCGGCTCCGAGAATGACTAGAAGATGAATTCCCAAGGAAGCTCATAATACGCGCATTAGTAGAAGTGCTCTCTAAGAGTATTGGCAAAGCTAGGAACTCATTTCACTAAGTTTCACTCCAAGTTCAGCCCATTCGGGGGTTACTCACTCGAGTGTGTGTRTATACATATCCATCAGGATTGGCCACAGGCAACAAGAAAATATCCGCTTTCTCCAAGATGGAGGTCACAGCTGGGTCCCTCCCATAATCAGACACAATCTAAGCAGAGACAAGGTGTTTGTCAGCTATACCTCAGCAGGCTGGATTACTAAGGTCCAATAGGTTATGTTCCTTAGAGGCCCAGTGCCCACCAAGAATGGATGCTTCTAGAACAGTGTCCACCCTCAAGGCTTCTTTGGTGCCTCCATGGGCATGGCTGTCTGTAAAAGCCCTCCGAGCTCCTCAAGACCTGGGGACATGGCTGCATGACCACATCAACTGCAGTGAATCCTGGGGTGCTCGCTTTGTTCATTCCCTCCGAGAGTGAGGGGGGGTCACACCATATCTTAAGAATTTGAGCCCCCATCGAAGGAGTAGGGAAGATATGACCTTCACATCCAGGCTTAAAACACTGTTCCCTACCCACACAAGCTTAAAACAGACTTCCTGGATGGATCTGGAGGCAGCTTGAAGTCYCTCCTAAGGGCTGTGCGACTTGGAGGGGCCGAAGGCAGAGTTCATTTGACTAGTGCTGAGTGTTTCTGTGCTCCCCTCGCAGGGCTACAGAGGATCAGAATCCCAGGCACACTCGTGGCTTATCGACTTGCTCCCCACCATTTTGTCACTTAGCCAAACTGGGCCGATAAAGTGGTTTTAACCATTTACTTCTCCAATCTGAAAAGTCCCCAGCCTACTGGGGTGTACAGAGCACCTTCCTATCTCATCCCCAGGGCCCAGCTATGTGAGATGCTGCAGGGGCCCCTGGGGCCCACCAGAATCCTTGGCTAATACCAGGCGACATGACCTTCCTCGCCGTCCAGATGGCGGTGGCCTGTGAGATCCACTCGCGGGAATGGATGCCTGCATTGAGCCAAATGGCCGGCCGCTGCTCGCCTCCTGTGCTGAACTGCAGAAGGGAAAAGAGGCCAGAAAATGACCCGCCTGCCCGCGTCTCCGCGTCTCCACTCACCTCTCCTCTCCCCAGCTCGCTCCTATTCATTTAATTCATTTAAGATAATTCAGAGACCAAATGTTCCTGAGGGCACCGTCTATTTATTGGGCTTATCCGTGACCAGGGAGCTTAATTGGTTGGCTGCAGCTCCGGGCARCCTGAACCTCTCCAGTGTTGGGAGCAAATGGAAAAGAGAAACAATTGTTATTGTGGATTAGAATGCTGGTGCGATTAGAGATAATAGTATGTCTCTTGAAAGACCTCAAATGGTATCCCAACAGAGAGAGACACAAGGGTGCATGAACCAGGCTGTTTTGCTGATGCAATAAATGAATTCGGTTTTAAATTAGGAAGAAGAGGGCTTCACTATGGCTCTTTGTAAATGACAGTAATGAATTCTGGCTCCTGCCTTTTCCATAGTGTTGGGGCCCTGTGGGTTGGAGCTTGGTGCTAACGAAGCCAGGGTCTCCATCAGACCAGGCAAATAATCTAATTGTAATTATCTTAAAGAAACCAGCTCAGTGGCAGGTCTCCCTTCCCACTGATAGATAGCTTGCTAAAAACCTGGGTTCTTTGGGCTTATATGAAGCTAAGGGTTTGGCAAATTCTGAGCACCATCAGTTGTTCCATGGTTTATATGCCCAAATTCCTTTTTATTCATTCAATTGGATTATTTCTGTAATTTATGTCATTGTCATAGTGCTCTACCTCCTTTGCCAATACAGACCTGTATCTGTTAGAAATATCTGGAAACTAGGCTTCGTGCAGCCAAGGATCAGAGTCTGGGCTTAAAATTATACCCACCCTAAAATTAGCTTCCTAGGTTGCTTTTCCAATAAGTAGCCCTAAAAGCAGACTAGAACTCGTAGGTCCAAACCAACTTATCTTGCTGTTTACAGAAGGTGGGGTTGAAGGCAAAGCTGTGGCCCTTCTGGGAGCTTTCTGGAATGCTAACCTCTCCCCTTTGACTCTTTCAGTCAAAACTTGGCACTTGAGCCCCCATCGAAGGAGTAGGGAAGCTATGACCTCCACATCCAGGCTTAAAACACTGGATGTGCTCTTTCTACCTGCCCCACATTAGACAAAAACATGACTCTGTCAGATCAAATTCTAGCCAGAGCAGGCTCCCAGCCTCACTGTCCTCCCTGAAATCAAGGTCTAAAGAGCTGCCTCTCTCCGAGGAGGACATGAGGAGCCAGCCGGGACCCTTTGAAGGGCACAGGGGCCTCACCTTCAGGACATACATCGGCCGGTTTTCAAATGACTGTCCAATCTTCACCCTGCTTGCCACGTCAGGGAAATCTGTGGCAATGTTGTCCATCTCTTGGTAAATCTGCAGTGTAGAAAAAGTGCACCCAAGGGCATTTTTTAGAATTTGTTTAGCTGTCAGAGAACAAATCTGTCAACTTTATCTTATCAGTCTTCATGATTTTTTCTGAGCTCCTAACCTTAGGGTTGACCATAGTATCCACCAGGAATGCTTATAGAGAGAACTGCCCAAAGAGTCGCTTTCTACAGTTTTCTAGAGAATAACACATTTCATTTGTCCATGAAATTATAGTCCACCCAACTAGAGTGGAGAGGCTTATATTAATAGCTCTTGCTGCAAAGTGTGGCACTCTGTGCCATCTTGGTCTGGAACATCAGAGCAGCCCTGCCTGGTCAAAGTTGTTCACAGCAGACCTCCCCAAACACGCGATCACTTTCTCTACCAACAACAACAACAACAACAACAAAAAAAATCAATTTAGCATGCACCGTTTCCATATATGTACCAGCATAGAAATACATTACATTCATTATTTTTTTTTTAAAGTCACAGAGGTTGTAATAATTTCTCCTTCATCCCAATAGGCCATCTTGCTTACTATACCCTGTGGTATAGGCACCCCACTTTGGAGATGATTTTTCTAAAGATTTCACCAGAGCAAGTGATAGARAGCTGTAAATAGTGGCTAAGAATACTCCCATATACTTTCAGGGGAGAAAAAAAATATTTGTTTTAAATAGAGTTGATCCATTTTAGTTTCTTGAATCATTTGAAGGCCAAAAGAAGGAAATATACAAATGTGTTTAGTCAATAAGATTGGAAGAAGGAGATATACATAGGAGGAAAATGTTCAATCGACATTGAATCAAAACAAGCTTACAGGGTTTATGGAGTGGTAGTCAATATAGCAAATTGTGCAGAAGCAAGAAACCGCCCTCCAAACACACAGGCAAGCCAGAAAGTACAGTGAAGGTGATTCACAGCCAGTTGAAACGCTCACAAAGGTGAAATTGTACATGCCAGAAATGAAGAGGGAATTAACTACCAAGGTGGAGGAGAGGAGAGGAGGCTTCAGGTGCTGGGGGGTCACAGCCAACAAGGAAGAGAAGCAGAGGGTTTAGGACCCAGCATGGGGCAAGAAGCTAGGACTTCAAGCTGGAGATTGGCATATCTGATCACCTAAAGGGCTTGGAAACTCTTCCCCCAGAGAGCAGAAGAAAAGCAGGGTGGCTGCCCTAGGCATGAGAGGAAAGAGATTTACCCAAGAAAAGTTACGATAATAAGATGTGTCCAGATGTGGGGTCCAAATTCATGCAGCCAGCCACTGCCACGACATACACACAGGATCTGGAACCAGAAAGCCTGGCAGAGACAAAAGTGAAATTCCACCAGAGACCTAAGAAAGCCTAAGTGGTTGTAGGATGTGAGCTTTGCAAAGATGTTTTTTGAAAGAATTGAAACAGGAAGGCTATGGCAAACCTATCCGCAGCAAAAGGCCTCCCAGGGAGCGAGCAATAGCTTAAAGTCAGACTGCAGGGCACCTAAAGCTAGAGAAACCAGAGGCAAAGTGGTTTGAGAAAGTGGAGCCTAGGCCTCCAGCAAGTGAGGGGATGGCCCCTCTGGATCCCTGGATGACATTTGCAACTGGTTAACGGGGCTAGAGAGGGCCCCACGTTAATGAGGCTAACGTCATGGGTTTGATCCCTGTGTGGGCCCTGAGCTCCACTTTTGTCCATGGCCTGAGACTGAACTCCTAACTTTATCCAGCTGTTTTGCAGATGTATGTCATTGGTCACAAGAGGGATCAAGGGGCAGTGTGGTTGGAATATACACAATAAACAAAGCTACTGACAATCATGGGAAAGAAGTGGAAATAGTTGGTCAACCTTTGAAATAATCCCTCATCTAGAAAAAAAACAACTTAAAGTATTTGTCTCATGGAAAGCATGCAGGAACACCAGGTTTGCAGGTAAAGAATGACCCTTATTAGGGTGGATGAGGGAGAATACCGGTTTAGATTTGGGGTGTGTTCCTAGCAGAGTTTGCAGACTAATGAAGGAGATACCGGGGGACATAAAAGAACTACACCATTTGTTCAGTTCCATTCCATAGTCCCTCTTGATTTCTCAAGTTCCAATATCATATGAAATTATCCTGCTCCAAGTTTTTCATTTGAAAGTTTGGCTTACCTTGAAAGTCAGACATCTATATAAAGTGGTTTCTAACTAAACACAGCACCAAAATGCATTATGGAACAAATATACATTATAAGTAGTCATGATGAATGAGTGGAAATATTTGGTTAACCTTGGAAATAAYCACTTGTCTACTTGACTGGAATAAGTAACATTTTATTCTGGGTGAGGGATTATGGTGGGGGAGTAGGAGGTTGAATTACAAGGACTGGAAATGATTGCAATTATTTCATAGTTTTCTATAAGCGGTTGCTTAAGAAAAGAAGGATGTATGTGGAAAATAAGGTCCACTTTGTATTTCACCAGGTTCTTCAGTGTTGGTAGGAGTTAAACAGCCCAAAGATTGGAAAGGAATTAAAGTATACAAGGACTGGAAATGAAAGCCCCTCCATGAAGTGATATTGTGATGAAGACTAATACCTACTGGAAATTAGAAAAGTTACAAAATTCAGGCAACAGAAGATCTTGGCCTTAAACCTGCTCTGAAATACTTACAGCTTCCAGAGTATGGTAAGCCCCATAGTTGAAGGYATTATTGCTCCGCTCTTGCCCTTCGTTATATTGCATTTCTTCATCTTCATTATCTAAAAGGGCCTGAAAACAGACACAGCAAAATGGTGAAGTCATCCACGGGAGGCAGATCGTGTTTTTCCTGCCATATCTTGGTACAGAGGCTGGCCAAGATGATGGCTCCTTCCACACATCAAGCAGCACAAATGTCAAGGTTTAAATAGGGATCGCATAGCTTAAATTATACAAAGTAAGGATTAAAGCACAGGKAAGTGTAAGTTCAAGCTGCCTACTTCTTAAAGAACTTGCATTCCTCATCACTACATAACGTGGTAATGCCAAATTTCTAAGGAGTTTAAATAAATTCTGAGAAAGTAGGAAGGACAACAGAATGACCAGTGCTCATTTTCACCTAAGATCTTCATTCTCTAATGTCCTTGGTTCACTTGAAACATTTCAATATACAAAAATACCACAACATCAATGCCAGGAGAAAAGCCATCAGCGTGTGTACGTACACTGGTCATCGTGATGAGTGTGGTAMGATTTTGAAAAATGAACTATCATGCCCTTTAACCAAAAGTAAAAAAAAAGTTGGGGGGGGGGTCAGATTTCTTTCAAATATCTATAAAACTTTACTTCTCGGTGTCCAATTTAAGTCACCCCATTGAAAACCCACTTACTCCCTGGAAGCAACATATGTGCTACTGGGTTATTCTCTAGTATGAAATCTCTAGACATCAGCCTGCATCTGGTATCCAGTGCCTCTGAAATGCACAGCTTGGGAAACCATTCAGAAACAAAGAAATTCTTATAACCACTCATACTTTGAAGGTTCCTGGCAGATGTCTGTGACATGTGAGGATGATTAATAAGCTCACAGCTGCTCACGCCATCAGGAAACTCCCGGGCCAAATCACCAATTAGTCCATAACCCACCTCGTGAAGGAGAGAGCAGGAGCCAGACACAGTCCTGCTGTTCAACACAGGTCGTGGGGCTGCATGGTGATGTTCCCTCCACTGGGGACTACTGGGGACATTCTTGCTTTCTCACAAGGGCACTTCTTATGACTGGTCTCCAATATCCCCCAYACCCCACCTTGGCTCCTAACTTCAAATAAGAAAAGGGAGAGGGGCTTATTACTTACTGTGATGTGCCAGATACTGTCAGACACTTTGCATACATTTAACTAAAGAATCTTTCCAATAAACTTCATGAAGTTAAGCGTCATTATTACCATTTTACTGATGAGGAAATGGAGGCTTGAGAGCATAAACACTTGTTCAAAGACACAGCACTATCAAAATTGGAATCTGGGGCCAGATCTCTCTGTTTCCCTGTCTACCACAATGCTGTTCCTCTAACAGGTCACTGCAATTTACTTCCATTTATCTCAGTTTCATCATCTTTGAAATGATAAAGGATGACACAAGACCTTGAAATCTCTCAGATCCATTCTGGACTGGCCGTTTGGTCCTATGCAAGACCAGTGAGAGGCCATGGCCTACCCACCTGCAGGTCATCAATTGTCACTGAGTACTCCAAGCCTTGGGACTTCAGGAAGGATTTGACTGGCTGCAGACTGATAGACGGAACCAGGACATCCACAGGCCGGCCCAAGGCAGAGGGAGAACTCCAAAAGTTGAGCTGAAGAGAACAGAAATAAAACCAGATTCAAGGACAGTTCAAGTAAAACACACAATAAGTTCATTCTTCTAGAACCCGTGGAAGGTAATCCCCGAGGGGCAGAGTTCTGCCCAAGGGCAAACATCACCCACATCACAACTGTATCAAATCAGACCACCCAGCGAACAGGACCTGGCAGAGTCCAAGAGATGGTAAGTCAATGGYGGCGAGGAGGAGGGAGCCCACGACTCAGGCCTCCTATTTTCCGGGACCACCCTGCTCTCACCTATAGCTCGTCTTACCTTTCAACTCTCTTGATTGTCTAAATGGCCTGTCTACTAATACAAGGTTATACGCGGAGAATCTTCCAGAATAAAAATAACATTGCCAGTAGTACAAGATTCCTCTCCCACCAAAGTTAAAACACTCACTCAGGGGGACTAAGAAGCAGCACATACCTTAAAGTTGTCCGAATTCACTAGTCGAGTCAGTTTGCTGACCTCGTCTCCATTTCTGACATTAATCCTAAAAACTTGGTCCCTGGAGAAAGAGGGGGGGGGGAAGCCAAAGATAATGGGGAGCTTTCAACTGGCAAATAAACCCCAGCCCACTATCCCAGACAGAACTGGGCTGAATGAGAGGAAATGGTCTAGTCTTTGGTTATAATGTAKAGCCATTAAAAATAAGACTACGTGGCAGATATAAAAAAGTGCTTATGGTATAACTTGAAGGGAAATATTAAGTGAAAGAGCAGGACACAAAATTGTATGTATGCCATGATTACAAGTATGGAAAAAGCAGATGCACTGGAAGAAAAACAGACAACGGAAATATCCCAAATGCTGACAGCGCTCAAGTTCGGGTCGTGGGATTATGGATGACTTACTTTTTTTTCCCTTGTATCTGTTTTCTGTAATGTGGTCATATTACTTTATAATGAAAAACATATATATTTTTACAGAAAGGAATGTTCCTGAGTTACAATGCAAAGCTAACTCAAGACATAAAGAAGCACTTCTTCACTGTCAGGGTGAGGGCTGAAACCCTGGTGGAACCTTCAGACTGGGAAGAGCTGGACGAGGGAGCAGAACCTCCATCCTGGGAGGCTGGGCTGCAGTCCTCTTAGAGAAGAGGGGAGAGAGGCTGGGTGCTGGGCCATCCCCTCCATCCCAGAGTCCCCCACACACATGCTTCACAATGGAACTGAATACAGCCCCAGGTGTGAGGCTGAACTTGGGACTGCTGCCGCCCACAGGGTCGGAGAGGGTCTAAAAGGGCCTGCCAGTCACAGCCCCCTTTGTCATTTGTCCTGCACTTATTTCGTACAGGTTATTTAGCTTCCGCAGCAGCAGGGCGGGAGAAGAGGCCCCAAAGTCCTGCGTGGGAGGGAGAAGGCTGGGGCTGAAAAGCTGCCTTTGTGTTCTCCGCCTGCTCCAGGGAGCCAGGGGAGCCATTAGGCCGTTGCTAGGTGACGGACCCAATGAATCCACACTCGACGCTGTCACATGCGTCATCCCTTTGACACGAGTGAATGCGGGAAGAGCGGCTGGAGAGGGCTGTGGGCTGAAGGACCTGTTGACAGAGTAAATGGCTCTGTCACCGGGAGCTAAACGTGCAGCCAGCCTCACRTGGCCACCCCTCACCAGAAAACCAGTTCAGTCCAGATGGACCCTCAGAGTTTTGCATGGTTCTAGAAAGTTCCGGGGGGGGGGGGGGCTCTTCACGGGGGTCTTGGCCAGCCCCAAGGAGTCAAGGCCCACTGCAGGTAGCTAGTTTGGAGAAGATGTCAGTGCCCGGGGCTTTTTTGTTTTCTCTCCCAACCTAGCCAGTCCCCACAGGGTCCTGGAGGGGGGCAGCTAACTGGCTGCTGAGGGCCCTGGTAGAGAAGCCCTGGCTGGGCAGCTGTGTCTGAAGCTGCTATGGCTTGGATATGGTTCAAGGGTGCAAGTGCTCAAAAACTGGTCCCAATTACAGTCCTGTCGTCAGGTAGCAGGAGCTAGCTTTAAGAGGTGGGGCTTACTGGATACCCCAAAGGGATTAATGCTGATCTTACAGAGTTAGTCCCTAAGACAGTAAATTACTATACAATGAGTGAGCCTGTCCTCTAACTCTGGCTTCTTCATGTGACCTCCCTCTCACACATGCTCCAACTATGATGCCATCCACCATGCTATGATGCAGACAGGGGGACCCTACCAGAGACTGAACGAATAAAGTCACCCAATCTGGGATGTTCGGCCTCCAACACTGTGAGCTAAATAAACCTCTTTTCTTTATCCGTTACCCAGCTTTGAGTATTTTGTTATAGCAACAGAAAATGGACTAATACAGAACCCATCAGGTTTGCTAAGAGTTGGACTACAGCCCTGGAAAGATGGAGAGTCAGATCAGCATTTCTCTGACACAGGCAAGAAGCTTTGACGGGGAAAAGGGGAAACAGGTTTAAATCAGAAGGGACTAAGATTAATCTGCTGAACTCATATTCTTTCATAACCTACCTCCAACACTCCAGAAAAAGTGGTGTCTTAAAAGTGAGTATTCTAGAAAGAGCCTGTACATTGACAAAAATCTAGGCATTTATAAAACAACACTGGCTAGAGCAATCACAAAGAAGGAGGGGACAGAGAAGGAATGAGAAGAGAAAACAGAGAGAGACGTAAGAACAAGAACCAAGTCCATAGCCCATTTCGTCATCCTCTCCTCCACCTGTCACTCTCGCCCTAGTATGCCTTTGCACACATTACTCCTCTGCCCACAATCACAGTCCGTTTCCTATCTTTCTGGCAATCTCCTGCCTAGTCTTTAAGACCAGCTCATATTATCCATGAAGCTTTCCCTAACCAGAGGAGGCAAAATTAGGTACAGACTTCAGATAGTGCTAAAAATTGGCAGTAATATTAGGATTTAACATTATCTTTATGAACATCAGTGCATCGATACCTAAAATCAGAGTGTGTGCCGTACAAAGGACAGTCATTCTTGCTCTCATTATCCTTGTCTATGGACAAAGATAATGTTCACTCCAGGTCATGAGAATGCAGATGGTTGAATCCTCTATTACCTGGACGTTCATTCAACCTTGACTGCGAGCTCTTTCTGGAGATGGAAGATTTGCCTGGGAGAGGGGACATGTTGGAGTTTGCAGGTTGCTGTGTCCACTCCTCCTCCATACCGGTGCTCTGATCCCTCTTACAATACCCAGGACCATCCAGCTGCTTCCAATACCAGACTGAGGATGCCCTGCCACTTACTCTCACACTTGTCCCAAGTTCAGGACAGTCAATACAGGCAGTCGAGTGGCTTATTCTTTGTGTATCTCTCATCAATGTCCCTAGCCAGGCTTAGCAGCCACCATCAACAATACAAAGATGATTTCCCAAAACTCTCAAGAGGACCGCGAGCTACTGCTGAAACTACAACCAGTTCTGCAACTACTTCCTGTTCTGTCCCTGCCCATACCTCCCAGCAATCTGGCCATTGTCCCAAACTTAAGATGACCAAAGACCAGGACAGAAGGTACCAGCAGTGCAAGAGAGACTGGTGGGTAAGAGAACCAAGTGAAAGGGAAGAAGATGGGTGGTGGGGAGAAACCATCATCCTCATCCCTAGCAGGCAATCTCCGTCATGCCTTCTAATTACAAATGCTTGAAGACCAGCTTGCCTGTGCTCTAAATGTTCATTGAGCTGGATGACCAGGACGTGTCAATGGACCCTAGGAAGGATTGCTGCTCCTTTTCTGGATTACTTACTATGGAGTGAGACTTTGGAGTTTTAACCAATAGATAACACAATAGTTAAAACCATCTGCAATCAGCTATTGGTTAAAACCATCTGCAATCAGCTCAGGTACACAGCTTTCTCTGGGCAAAACTCCTGCTGTGAGCAGTCTAGGCCCCGCTGTCTTAGCACGGGTGCCCACTGCACCATAAGAAAGAACATATCCGGAGAAATAGAGATTTTCCAGCCACACGAATAGCTGCAGTGGGAACCTGACAGCTCCATGCGTCAGCCCACACAGCAGCAGGTGTAGTAATGACACATCTACTGCTGAGCTGCCTGTGGAAAAATCTCCTTCCCTGGCCACCTGCTACGCCTAACCCTCAAGCTATTTAGCAGTAGAGACACAGGTATCAACAGAGTCATAAAAATTACTCAATCTCATATAAGTAATTGCTTCAATAAACAACCCCAAAGTCTCTTTAACCAGGTAGTATAATAGAAAGTAAACTAATAGTTATAGATAGACCAGTGAGATAGAGGATTCTATTTGGAGATTAACTTATGTTATAGGAAAAAGGGTATGGGTTTTGCATGCCGAGTTCCAGCTCCCCTGCTTACCAGCTAAGTGGCCTTGGGCGGGTTCCTTAACCTTTCTAAGGCTGAGGTTTTTCATGTTTAAATGGAGGAAAATAACACCCCTGCCTGACAGAGTTGTTGCATGATCCAAAAGATAATGTACATGAAAGCTCTTTGGAAATGGCAAAGCTTTATGCAGTAATGAGTTATTATAAGGCAATCTTCTAGCAGGGCCCCACGGCATCTCTTTCATCTCTCCTACCTCCCAGATCTCCTCTCTGCAAACCTCCAAGCATTGTGTGTGGAGCATGTTGAGCATATGTGCACACAAAAACTCACACACATCGTACAGGTGTGGGTCCCTGCATGTCAATTTCCTTAGCTGTGCCAGAAGCACCGGCTCTTCTTTCTTCACTGTAAACAGAGAAGTGAGACCAAAAAGACTAAGACCCAGGTTTTCTCTTTAAGTGTGGTGGAAATCAGAAACAAACAATTTCTGGTCATTCTTTGTAATTAATAGTGTAGGAATGCTGGGTACGGTGGCTCACACCTGTAATCCAATGGCTCAGGAGGCTGAAGCAGGAGGATTGTGAGTTCAAAACTAGCCTCAGCAACTTAGTTCCTGGCTAAAGAACTTAGCCAGACCCTGCCTCAAAATAAAAAAATAAAAGGGCTGGGGATGTTGCTCAGTGGTTAAGCCCCTCTGGTTCAGTTCCTATTCCAGAATGATAATAATACTAATAACAATAACAATAATGGTGTAGGAATAAGAAAATAGGGGATGCCTGAAACTGACCTTACAAATAAGAAGCAGAAAGAAAAGGAATTAGCAGATTAGGGAGCTGGAGAGGGACTGTGGAGCCCAGTAGTTCTGGCCTCAGATTGCCCCAATCCCCAGCCTTTTGAAGTAAATGACAAGCTATTCCTTTTCAATTCCATTTGGCCCTCATATTGCTGAAAAAATATATATATATAATAAGAAGTCCAAAAGGAACTTACCCAAAAAATTTTTCTCTGCCACAGATGCTTGACCCAATAAGGGTCACAAAGAACAGTATCCACCTCATGTCCCAAAGTGACAGTCACATAGTAGTTGAGTCAGGCTGTATTTATAAGGAGCCCAGGGCAGACTCACATCCTCAAAAATGCTAATGTGATTCCCAAGCACCCCTGCAACTCTGACTGTGTGGCAGGCGGGTTCCTACCAATGCCTCCTCCATTCCTTTCGAGTGATAAAGGGCAGAGCCTCTTCATTTACAAGGTCAGAAACTTGCTCCACGGGCTGGAAAAGTCTGGGCCAAGGGTGCCATATTGCTCATCGCTTGGCATCTAAAGAGCATTTTTGAGTAAATAGAAAAGTCCCACGGAAGTGGTTAGAATTTATACTGACAGGAGAGTCCAGATGTCAACCTGGATGGAATTGCCTCTAGAGTTAAAAAGTGAAGAAAATCAAGTGACCCAGGCCAGTTCTGAGACCACACTTGACAAGTCCTTTCAGAAAATGTTCACCAGAGAATGTCATAATGAGAAGAGTTCATGGCCTCTTTTATAGACCTGAGGCTGAATTCTTGTGAGTCCCCTGAGAAAATAGAAAGATATGTGGTCGATGCTATAGAAAGGAAGTATTAATCTGAATAAATTATCATTTTCCCTTGGGATCTGAACAACAGGTAAGGTTTGATAAAATTATTAATAATAAAACTTTCTTGGGCTGGGGATGTGGCTCAAGCAGTAGCACGCTCGCCTGGCATGCGCAGCACTGGGTTCTATCCTCAGCACCACATAAAAATAAAATAAAAAGATGTTGTGTCCACTGAAAACTAAAAAAAAATAAAATATTAAAAAATTCTCTCTCTCTCGCTCTCTCTCTCAAAAAATAATAAAACTTTCTTAGGTTTTGCTAGTCTTTGACTCTTGTATCCTTTCTTTCAAGTCTCAATGGAATAAACAGAAGGCACTCATCATCTGAACGACTTCTTCATGGGCTCCAGGGCCTTTGGGTCTGACCTACATTCCTAATTTCCCAAAGTCTTCCCAATCCCACCATCCTCATGGGCTAGATTCTTTCTGCATCTGCCCAAAGGTAGTGGATATAACCAAGGGTGATGGTTGGGAAATTATTCTGACCCTTGTAAAGAAGGTAAAGAAAGCTTTATTCAAGATTTTTGCTGTAGAGATCATGAATACTGCAATAGGAAAGGCTAACCCTGCTTAAGTCCAAAGACAGCAGAATGAAGGGATCAGCAGATGGAAAATCGCTAAGAGGAAACATCAAGTCAGGGGGATTCTTTCGAAAGTGGCCTAACAAGAGTCATGCTAAAGGCAGGCCATAGACTTATACATCAATAGTGCGGGATGAAGAACTTGATCAGATATCAAAGTCAGGGGATGACTTAGCAAGGTCTTTGCTAAGACTGGCTCTGACACGGCTCAAGAACAAACCTAGTGAAAAAAGAGAACATCAAGAGTTGGGGTGGGGTTCAGTGGTAAAGTGCTTGTCTAGCACATGTGAGGCACTGAGTTCAATCCTCAGCACCACATAAAAACCCATCGGTTTTTATAAAACAGCATGCCAGAAATGGGAATGTACAGGCACCTAGCACGATGCCTGGCGTTTTGTAGTTGCTTAATTAGTATTTGTTGAAAAACTGAGCTCTAAAGTCTGCTGCTAGCCTCTGAAATGAGGGGTTGATACATGCTAAGACACAGATGAACCTTAAAAACTTAGTGAAATAAGACAGACACATGAGGAAAAATACTGTGATTTGTCCTTACAAACTGAATGTGAGGAGATTCCTAGAATAGACAAATTTATAAAGACAGAAAGTAAAATAATGGTCATGAGGGGCTGAAGAGAGAGGCTAACGGGGAGCCACTGTTTAAGGAAAACAGAGCTTCCGTCTGGGATAATAAAAAATTTCTGGAGATGGATGGCAGTGACAGTGGAATAATATTGTAAATGTACTTAGTGCCACAGAATTGTACCCTTGGGTACTTGGGGCTGGGGCTCAGCGGTAGAGCACTTGTCTTGCATGTGTGAAGCCCTGGGTTCGATTCTCAGTACCACATAAATAAAATAAAAAGGTACTGTGTCCACCTACAACTAAAAAAATATTTTAAAAAAATAATAATCAGGGGCTGGGGTTGTGGCTCAGTGGTAGAGCGCTTGCCTAGCATGTGTGAGGCACTGGGTTCGATTTTCAGCACCACATAAAACAAAGAACTAAATAAAGGTCCATCAATAACTAATAAAAACATTTAAATAATAATAATAATAACTAAATTTTATGTTATATATAACTAATAAAAAAAACTTAAAGGATGTTTGGAAGATTTCTCTTAGGATAAATTAAAGAAAAAAACAAAGGCAAGGTGCTTACAGTGTAGTGGATTGCTGTGTTTTAGGGCAGAGAAAACTGAAGAAATGGGTGCTGAGGATGTGGCCACTGGTATAGCACTTGCCTAGCATGTGCAAGGCCCTGGGTTTGACCCCCAGGCCTGCAAAAAAGAAAAGAAAAAAGAAAGAAAGAAATTGAAGAAATGAAGCACCTACATTAGTATTCGAAAAAGAAATGGTCACAACCCAATTTTGCTTTAAACCAAAGAGATTTTAATGGTGTTTGTCTATTCCACAATTCCCTAATATGGGTGGTCTCGCACGTGCTCCATGATTGTCTTCAAGCCAAGCCAGGTCTCTTCAGCTGTGGGCAAGATCTGCTTGGCCGGCAGGAGGAAACCATAGCGGCCTGTGTCTCTCAGTTCAAAGGCAAATGAGTATTTGATGCCAGAGTCATAGGACCAGTCAATGCTTCCGCCACTGGCTTGGTCTAAAGGGCAAATAAGAATAAGGACTGGTTATGCTATTCCCACTGACCTCTACATAACCTCTATATTCAGTTCCACCATGATCAAAGGTAAATCAGACCCCATATGCATGGGTTACAGGAGCAGGCMTAGTTCAGCAGAGGCTCATGCCTACAGAATACACAAGAATACTTTGAAAAGCAAAAGGTGTTATTCCAATGAACACTGTACTTAGTCTTCCTCTGGTGTTCTTAGGAGCCTCTGGCTTCACCCACCCATTTGGAATCTTGCCTGATGCCCTAATTGGCATCTTCCCCAGGTTAGGGAGGCCACACCACTTCCTTCTCTAGAAGGTACAGGCATTGTTTCCTGTAGTGGTAGAGCAGGAGTTATGGAGTAAGAGATCTGGTCCCTGTCCTTATGAGACTCTCAGCATAAGGAGGGAGCAGGCTCTGCTCCAGTGTGAAATCATATGTGCAGCCTCCCTGCAGATGGGCTAAGTCAGTACAGTCATGTGCACCTGAGACATGTGTGGCCACTGACGTGACAGATGATGAAGGCGGATGGCATGAGCCTAGGAAGATTCAAGGCAATCAGACTCGGTAGAACTGAGCAATGGGCTGGTCCTGAGGCCCCGCCCAGGGAGGGCAAGTAGAGGACAAATGGAGGACATGGTTGTGGCAGAGATGAAGGAAGCCACCCAGCCCTAAAACAGGACTGGGAACATCAGGGAAATTGTACCAGGAAAGAGTAGGACTAGAGGTTAATATTGTGAATTGCCAAGTTGAACATCCCTTATCCAAAATGCTTGGGATCAGAAGTGTTTTAGATTTTGGATTTTGGAATATTTCATATATGTAATGAGGTTATCTTGGAGATGAGGCCCAGGTCTAAACACAAAATTCACTTGTTGCATATATATCTCACACATGTAACTTAACGGTCATTTTATATAATATTTTTAGTGCACCTGCCTTTTGACTAGGATCTGTCACATGAGGTCAGGTGTGGAATTTTCCACTTGTGGCATCAGGTTAATGTTCAAAAAGTTTTTGATTTTGGGACATTCCAGATTTTGGATTTTCAGATTAGGGATGTTCAACCTGTAATTCTGAGAAATTCTTGTACACTTGTCAGCCACAACAGCTAGTATAGCGCCTGATGAATAACAAATACTTAATGGTTGCTGGCTTGGCTGACTCTTCCCAGGGTACCAAAATTACTAACATATACCTCTGATGTGGCTATATGATACAGTCATCCCATAAGGGGTCCATAGAGGATAGAGTATTAGTTTCAGATTGATTACTAACCCTCAATGATTAGCTGGTGACCTAAGGCCAAGATGCTTCATCTGTCAAATAAGGATGATATACTATGTATTTCACAGGGCAGTAAGAATTAAATGTAATAATGTAATGGCTATGATTTCAACACTGAGTGCTCACTAAATGTGTTAGGGTGTTAAATTGTCTTATTTAATCTATACCTTAGTCCTGAAGTAGTTACTAGCATTGTACCTATTGTACAGATGAGGAAACTGAGGTTCAGATGAGTTATAATGTAGGTAGAATAGGCATCCAATAAATGTCAGTCATAACAAGCATTATCAATAAATGACTAGGATCTTGTCAACTTAGACCACATTAAGGATCAAAGGCATCTGGAGGATAGTAGGTGGCTGCTTTAGAGTTGGTGAACACTTAATTCTATATATTATCTTTTGAGTCTCTTGACAATCCATTTCACAGATTAAAAAGCCAAGGGAGGGTGAGTGACTAGCCCAAGGTGACTTGGTTCCAAAGTGGCAGTTTTAACTCAGATCCAGGCTTCTCCTGGCTGTGCTTTTCCCCCTATACCTCCCTGGGAAATAACTCAAGGATACCTTCTCCTGGACCAAGCACTCATCACAGCACTTTCCAGGTGGGAAGCTACCCAGGAACTTTCTCACCCAGAACAGACATGAAGTCCCCTCCTAGATGGAGAGAAGCAGATGTTTCAGGTCAGAAGTGAACCTAGGCAGGAGGCAAGAAGAACCTGACTGGGACTGGTTCTTAGAGGCAGGGCTTGTCCAAGGTGTGAAGAAGCAGGATAATACAGTCAGCTCTGGACAAATTTGCAGCTAGAACTTCCATTAATGATGATCCAGTCTCCAAAGATCACATAGCAAACCTACATTTGTCTGATATTTGCTTATCAGAAATGTCTTCAATATCTGTGTCCTCACCAAGAAAGAAAGTACACTAAACCTCAGCCTTCCAAATTCTA